GGAGGGCAACGGGAGGCCACATGGCACTGGCTTTGGCTGCTGCTCCCAAGGACGTGGGAAAGGAAAACCACTGGATCATTTTGAGCAGAGGAGTGAAGGGATTTCATTATAAAAGTTAAAGGATCATTCTGGCTGCTCTTCAGGGACTGGAGCTTAGGGCACAGAATACAGCAAGTCCAGAAGCAGGGAGACCAGTTATGAGGCTCTTGGAAGACACCAGATGAAAAGGATGGTGGTGGCCCAGACCAGTGTGTTGATGGTGGAAATGAGAAGGTGAGATTCTGGATGCATACATTATGAGCCAACATGACTTGGTGATGAATCAGATGTGACCAATGGGAGGATGAGAAGAGTCAAGCGTGACTCTAAGGAGTTGGGCCTGAGCACCAGGAAGGATGATATTGCGTTGAGATCCAAAGATAGGACACTGATAAGTCAAGTAGCATCACATAGGTCACCAACACCCAGTAACACACTGATGGGAACCCAAGAGTGCAAGACTGATTTTCTCTCCGCGCTGAGTGAATGAATACTGCCGTGTAACATTCTTATTACAGCTTCTCTGTTCTGTTTTGTAAGAAAAACAGCTAAACATTTTCTCCCCCCCCCAAAAAAAAAAACAACTGGAAAAAGTAATGTATTGATTAAAGCAAAAAGAGAAAGTCTCCAAGGCAAGGGAATCCAGGGGACCCATGTCAATACCAAATCATAATCCATTCAAAAATGTATTGCTCAGACTCTTGTTTGGAGGGTAGGAAAGAGTGGCAGTGGTGAGGAAGACACAGAGGGTCAGGGACTTTTTCAAAAGTTTGCTTGAACAAGAAAAGTCTTGAAAAGGCTATATTTGAAGAAAGGAAATGTCTCTGTTGCTTTGAAGCCTGGAAAAAAAGAAAGGAGCTATGAGGAAATGAATGTGTGTTTTTCTAAGAGTTTCACTAACAGTTCCTGACACAGTATTTAAGAAAATAGGTGTGTACGTTTTCAGTTCAAATGTAAAAATGTTAACATTCTAGTTTATATTAATAAGTACTTGGTTATGAATAACTGTATTTAAGAGGGTTCATGAGGAAAATGCCATCAAGCATTCATTCCACTTGTCTTAAATTGTGGGATAGTACAAATTGAGCGTTACAAATTAGTGAATCATCTGAAACGTTCAGGAAATACCGGAGAATACATTACTTATGTCAAAATATAATGTTTAAGCTTGTTTGAACCTACAGGTTATCTCTGAAAACATTCTTAAATCCAGTTCGTCAAGTGGCATCAATGTATTATGGGACTATTAACTAGAGACCTGCTCACATATAAAATCCAACATCAGGTTAAGACACTAAGAAACCACCTTAATGTTTTATAGCTACATGTATAGGGGGGTTTTCAGGGGATAACTTTATATTTAATGACGTTATTTGTTAAAACTTCATTAAAAAATCGACTTCGGAGCATATTGGGTCTTTTTTTTTTTTTTTGGTACTTTCACTGTCTGCAATGATCCAGCCGAAGTTTAGATGTTTAAAACAGCTGTCTTCTGTTTTAAAGTTAAAGCAAACAAAACACCCTCATTGTCTCCATTTCTCTGGTTATAAAATTACTCTTAAATACACATTTATCCTAAACGGCCTGGAAAAAGTCTTTCCGTTGATAGCAATACAGTGTTTTCTCACATTATCTACAACCTAGATTTGGAACAAGTTGGAAGTCTCATTTTTTATTTAAGCAGGGGCCAGAACAATTCCCTCTTCCAGCCAGGCCTTCCACTACCTGGAAGCAAAGGCCCTCAAAACAGTTCTTCCCCCCAAAAAGTTCTACTTTGCTTTTCATCAATCTTTTGGCCAAACAGCAAATTCCAAAGTGGTGTCTAATCATCTGGTTTATCTGGTTATGAAAAGTATAAATTACTTTTCGGTCACTGTGTTTTTAAACAAACTTATATCCAAGTAGGTACTTTTAAGTCTAAATGTTAGCAAGAAGGGCAATTAAGAGCAGTTATGTTGGAACAGCAAGCCAAAAACAAGGCCAGAGACAGCCTGTATTACATAACCAAAGACTTCAATGAAATGTAAAGAGCCTTTGTGGGGGGAGAAATGGAGTTCTGGTTTACTTAACGTTTATTGTTCATTCATTACCTTATTTCTAACCTACCATTCTCTTCATTTCCAAACAATAATCTGATATCAGGAGTGAATGGGGCCCCAGCTCCGTGGCGGTACAGTGGAGTGATTGTTACACTCGGAGAGGGTACCACCCGTGAAGCTATTCATGGAGGGGCAGACAGTTAATCACTGTTAGCGCTCCGGCTTGCTGGGAGAGCTCGGAGCTGTTCCTTGGAGATGTTCCTACAGTGTTCTCCGTGGATTCAAATTGCACTTTATCTCCTTCCACAGGTCTTTCAGAGTTCTATTTATATTCTCATGGCAGCGTATTTCCAAGCATCTTGTTTTGTAATTGTGGTTATTTAGCCATCACTTACATCTGCAAATCCTTTTTTCCTCATTCCAAAAAGAAATCAGACACTACACAATAGAAGTTCGATGTTGGGGGAAAGCCTAGTTTTTGTTCATCTTTAGAACCAGAAACTCAAAACAACTGTCTAGTGTTGTGGGGTTTTTTTTTTTCTTTCCATTTTTAAAGGGTCCTATCCCAGGCAAAAATCTTTTTTTTTTTTCCTACTGCAGCCTGAACGACTAACTGCTCTCACTAATCCACCACTCTTTTACGTGCCAAGCTCTTACTCTCTTCTAGATACTGGAGATACAAGAGAGACAAAAGAGATGGAGTCCCAGGACTTTAAGAAGCTTCTGCCTTAACAAGAAAGAGAAGCATCCAAACAAATAATTGTACCAACAGTTAAGTCTAGTTGTGATATATGGACTAATTTGGAAGGGTACTTTGAACCCATAATGGAAAGGTATGATGTACTCTGCAATATCAGGGAAGCCTTTCCTGAAGGGAAGGATGTTCGGAACATCGAGGATGTTCGGGCTGACATTTGAAGGATGAGCATGGGCTAACAAGGTAAAGAAGTAAAGAAGTGTTCCAGGCAGAAGCACATGGGCAGGTCTGTGGTTACAAAGCAGCACGGAACATTCCATTAATGGCAACACTGTGGAAGAAAAAAAATTGATGGCAGCATGGCAGACAGAAGAGACCAGAGAGGTAGATGATAAGCAAATCGTCCATTGTCTTGAAGGCTCTATGAAGGTTTTGGGTTGCCAAAGTATTTTTAGCAGGGGAGTGATGTGATCAGATATTCATCTTTCAAAGATCACTTCAGCTACAATTTGGAGAATGAGTTCAAGGGCTAGAGTAATTGAGATATTACTTAATTTGGGGGGAAATCCTGCTATATACTGGCTCTGGGTACATACAGTATACGTAAAAGCACAGAAAACTCAGGAAGATATTGCCCATGGAGAAGTGGAGAGAGGTAGGAACAGTATAGACTATATGGATGTGAAGCTTTACATACCACTTTTCATTTCTTGAAGTAAAGACAGGAAACATATATGACAAAATATTAACAGTTGCTAATTCTGCAGAGTGAAAATTGGGAGGTTCTATTATTCTCTGAAAATTTCTGTATCTTTCAATTTCCTCAAAAGAAAAGTAAATATTTTTTAAAGATTTTATTTATTTGACAGAGAATGAGAGAAAGAGACGACAACCAGGCAGAGTGACAGGCAGTGGGGAGGGAGCAGTAGGCTCCCCGCTGAGCAGAGAGCCTGATTCAGGGCTCCATCCCAGAACCCTGAGATCTTGACCAGAACAGAGAGCAAGACGCTTAGCCAACAGAGCCCCCCACCCAGACGCCCCCTGAAAAAAAAATTTAAAAAACAAACGAGAGAAATAGGAAGACAACAGGAAAGAGTGATGTGTTGTAGAAGTCAAGGGCAAAGAGAATTTCACAGGAGGATTGTGGTCCTATTCATCACTGCTCAGGATACAAATAAAATGAAAAGTTTAAATATCCACTGGATTAACTGTCACGGATGTCGCTGAGGACTTCAGCAAAAGCCTGGTCAATGGAGTTGCTGGAGACAGAAGTCAGATGGAAAGGAGTAAATAGGAAAGGAGGAAGGAGCAGTGGTGCTTGTCACTATTCCTCGGTGAGGTCTGGCTTTTGAAGAGAGGGGAGAAGGGGTAGCTTGGAAAGTAATGGAGGACCCAAGGAGGGCTTATTTCTAAGACTAGAAGAGACTAAAGCTTGGTTACCTGCTGATGGGGAGATGCAGGAGAGGCGGAGAAAGAGCAAAGAATTTGTAAGTATAAAGGATCAAACAGAGGGATTGGCCTCCAGTTGGAGGAGAGGCATCACCTCCCCCGTAAGAGGAGACGTGTAGGAAAGAATGAGTAGAGGGGCAAAAAGTCCCCATGTGACAGACTCTGAGTTTTTAAAGAAGTGGGTGGCACCAAGGTGAAAACATCTGGTTAAGGGGAGAAGGTCAGAGCCTAATGAGAGAAAGGGAAGATGACGAGGCTGTGTTCGACCAACTGAGTTTGGTAATTGAAATTTTGTTCTATCAGGCCTCAGCCTGTAACAGCCCATATGTACAAACAGCCCTCTCCAAGGGTCCCCCAGGAACTCTTACCCACCAGGAGCTGACCGTTAGGAAGCATTACTAGACCCCTATTCTCCCAAGTGCACTCGCCCTTTTTGTTTTAAAGCTGAGTTTCTGATCAAATAACTAGATGTGCTCTTTAAAAGGTTCCTGTGCGAGTTTACTCTTTAAATCTTTCTTCCACACTTTTCCCAGGTGATGTGGGGGGAAAGCAGGTGTTGTCATCACATAAAGTTATCAAAGCGTTTTAGGGGTAGCTCCCAGCACTGACACAAAACAAGCCCTGTTTTTCCTCAGCGCTTCCATCTGACTGCTGTCAAACGTAGTGGTGGGACTGACGTGGAGGATGACAAGGATGATGGCGACACTAGTCTACCTTGACAGAGTGGTGGTGTGTACCAGGCCCTAGACTCAGACTTGAGGTCTACACACAGCATCTCATTTTTTTTAAAATTTATTTATGATAGTCACAGAGAGAGAGAGAACGGCAGAGACACAGGCAGAGGGAGAAGCAGGCTCCATGCACCGGGAGCCCGACGTGGGATTCGATCCCGGGTCTCCAGGATCGCGCCCTGGGCCAAAGGCAGCTGCTAAACCGCTGCGCCAACCAGGGATCCCACAGCATCTCATTTAATCCACACAATCCCTGGGAAGCGAGAAGGTGAATCCCCATTTACAGGTGAATCCACTGGGGCTTCTGAGAGGTAAGTGACCCAAGGTCACCGGTTATTAGGTTACACAAGCATAGGCCACCTCCAGAGACCTAGCGGGGTTTTCCTCACTCCACTTCATGCCCTTTAACTACAAAAGAGTCTAAATTTCCTTTCAGTTCTTACACTCTGGGACTCTTTAACCCCCATCGGCTTTCTTTCCCTGGAGGGACAAAGTAAATTGCAGACTTCAAAGGCTTTGGAAGAGCAGTGGTTTCACTGAAAAGTTAAGGCAGGCTGCTGGTAGTGAGTCTGAGGTGCACCGACGGGGGAAATGACATCATGAGGTTTCATTGGGCAGCCTCCCCACAGGTGCTCCCCTGAGGGCCTTGGGAGAGACACAATAGCTGGCTTTTCTTCCACCTCTGGGAGCATCTCTCTCCAGGCAGGTGGAAGTGTAATCTCACCAGGTCAGGACAGATGGGTGCCTCATTGGATGGTGAAACTTTGGGATCTAGCGATTGCCAGGAAGATTCTGGGTGGTATTTCTTGGCCGTCGGAAAGTGAAGTCAAATTCTTTTCTTCTTGTATCCCAGAACCTACAATCGGGTAAGTGTAATCTCTTGCTTCTCGGCTCAGCGTTACTGCAAATTAAACATGCGAGTATTAATAACGGAAATAACTTCCCTTTTAAAAAACATATCCTGAAACTCGACGTGGGGCATTTCCAATATATCCATAAAGCAAACAAGACAGCTTAATTGTTTGTTTCTCCAAGGAAAGAAGCTAAACCCGGAATTAATTTGGTTCAGCTTGTGAAACAATTCGTTTGCTCTGCCTAATTCTGCCAATTAAAGAACTTTTCCCAGACACAATTAGCATGGAAAGCGGCGGCTGAGAGCAAAGAAGGGGCCGCGACGACGCGGGCGGGGCGGAGGAGCCGGGGGAGAGCCCCGGGGCGCCGCGGACTCGACCCAGGGACGGAGGGAGCGCGCCGGGGGCGCACGGGCTACCCCGGGACCCGGCTCGCAGCGGCCCTGCCGTCACCAGCCGAAGTCGGGGCGTCGGAGAGCGCAGCTGAGGACCAAGCCGGCCCGGCCAGCACCGGCTCCCGGCGGACGTCGCGGAGCCGCCCCCACCCGCGCCGCCGGGACGCGCGGCCGAGCCCCCCCCCCCCCGCCCCGCCCCGAGCCCGCTCCCGCTCCCGCTCCCTCCCGGGGCCCGCTCGCGTGCTGCGGGGGCTGCGCGCGCACCTACGGCCGCGCCCCCCGCCGCCCAGGCCCCGCGGTCCCCGCTTGGGAAAGGTGGGGATAGCGGCCCCTGCTGGCGGCTCTGGCGAACGGCGGAGATACGACTCCCTCCCGGTCCTCGCCACCTCTTCCAGGTGGGTGGGGGGTGTACATATACGGTAGATACAGGGTGTTGTCGCATGTGCGTTTATTCTCCGTGAGGCCTCACGAGTGTTTGTACGTAACTTGAGTTCTCAGCAGGAACAGCAGAAAAGAGAACGTGGGCCCGAGCCCCAGTTAGGGAGCAGGTACGGCTTCCAACGCATTTCCTTGGGGGTACTCGGCTTAAGGGCACCTGAGACCCCCATCCTCCTCCCAGTGCCTTTCTCGGCCGCCCCCGAGGTTGCTAAATATCGCTCTGCGGACTGCGTGGCCGCCCGGGGCTGCTCTCTACAGAGGCTTGTGGCTCCGGCCCGCCCCGTCTGCGAAGCCCGCTGGGGCGCGGGGTGCGCGGGCGCCGCGGGGACCGGGAGCGTGCGGCGGCCCGGGGGCGGGGGGGGGGCGGGGGGAGGACCCGGTGCGGCGGGACCGGCCGGCACAGGCCTGTAGCTGCAGGGGTTTGGGCGGCTGCGAGTTCACGCGGTGGGGAAAGGCTGTGCCTGCCATTCTCCGTGTGATCCTAACAATAGCGCCGTGCAAGAGGTTGCGATTTTACTTCTTCCACGAGGTTGTCGGATTCTCGTTGGAACTGTCTGCGTCTTATTTCCGAAGTTTGCTTGTTTCTGAGGGCACTCCATACACTTCCTAAGTCTTAAAGCAGATTATGGCTGTTGTTGACAGCACCATCCTTTGTACTACGGTGTACGTCTTCCTTAGCAAGCTCAAGGTGCTGAATGCGCCCAACTACCAAACCGTGTTCATGCCTTCCAAGTGTGTTTTTCACTGCACCGGCTTGTATCCAGTTCATCTGGGTGCGTAGGGCGCCCATCACTTCTGGAATCTACCTCCCGATACAGCAATCAGAATTAGAAAGGCTCGTCGTTCACTTACCCTCATCCTTTAAAACTTTTCCATTTAAGAAAATCGATAATCAGATCCTTTCTTGTAACTCGCTCCTGCACTACGTCTATTTTTATTTATTTTTCTGATTTGGCAGGGCTCAGCAACGCTGTCCGGGTTTTTTTCTCCCCCCCCCACCCCCCTTGCTGGAGCAGATGCGGGGGTGGGGGAAGCAGGGGCTGGGATCCAGCCCGAGTGGAGCCCGCGGGGACCTCCACCCGGCGCACGGCGGGGCCGGGAATCGTGGTGGGAGGAAGCCCCGCCGGCCGGTCGGTGCAAGGCTCCACCTGCAGCCGCCCCGCAGAGGCTCTGCCGCCCTCCGCCACGCTCTCTCACATTCACACACAAACACCGCGGCCCTCCCCCCTCTGGGTCGGAGAAGACGCCAGCCAAAGGAGGCGGGGTTGCAGGAGGAGAGTCCTCCCTGCGCAATCCAGTCCGGGACTTGGCTCCGCCCGGGCGCCTCGGCCTCTCCGGTGACAGAGGAGTAGTGAGCGGCTCCGGGTGAGGCTGCAGCCAACTCCGCTCCCCGCGCTCTCGGCTGCCCAGGCGCTCGGGACGCAGCAGCGGCGCTTCTCCGCGGGGCCCACCGCCCGCGATGCCCGCTTAGGAGCAGCGGCTGCGGCCAGCATCGCCCCACCCGCGGCGCAGCGCCCGCCGTCGCAGAGCGGGGCCACAGCGCGCCCCCCGCCCCAGCCCCCACCCCGCCCCCCACCCTGAAATGACTTGTTAATCCGCGCAGACACCACCGAAGGGACTCGCCGGAGTGGAATCCCAAGTGGAATTTGGATTTGGAGAAGAGTTTCTTGAACATTTACTCCTTCCTTGTTGGGTTATTTTTTTTTTCTTTCTTTCCTTCTTTCCCCCCCTCTCCCCTTCTGCGCCTGTCACCGGAGATGAACACAGCGCGTTTGCTTCCCAGAAAGTAGTCGCCGCGACTGTTACCCCCAAAGAGACAAGCACACATGTAGGAATGACAAAGGCTTGCAGAGGAGAGAGCGCAGCTTGCGGCCCGGAGAGATCCCCTCGATAATGGATTACTAAATGGGATACACGCTGTACCAGCCCGCTCCGAGCCCCGGCCGCCTGCCCGTCGATGCACCGAAAAGGTACGGCTGGGGCGCCCCGGCGCGCCCCACCTCCCTGGCGGCCCGGCTCTGGGCAGCGGGTCCCGGGGCCGCGGCCGGCGCGCGCTGTCGGCTTTGTGGTGGCTGCGTCTTATTTTGTCTGGTGTCTGTCTCCCGAGCCTTGCCCGGCCCCGGGGGAGCAGTCGTGAGCCCAGCCCGCCGCTCCCCTCCGCCCTGGGCCCGGGAGACCGCGGGGCTCCGCGCTTCGAGCTTCCCCACCCGCGCGGCGCACACGCCCGGCGCCGCCCGGTGCTGCCTGGCAGGGGAACGCGTGTGTAGGACCCGGGGCCCGTCCTCACTTTCGGGCCAGCAGGGAGGGGGCAGAGCGGCCCCGAGAGGGTGGGATTCTCTGGAGCGCCCAGTCCTGGCGCAAAGGCGGGGGCAAGGGTTGTGCCCTCAAGGGCTGGGGGACGTTGGGTGGAAGAGCGCCGTTGGTGCCCAGCACCAGGTTTGGGTTCTGTGGTGGGAGAAGGGGTTCCGCAGAGACGGTGGGAAAGCGAAGAGGATCTTTTGTTGTCCGCTCGGGGTCTGGGCTGAGCTCTGTGGAGTGCGGGAAACTTGTAATGGCCCTGGTACCCGTGCGCCCTGCCACTTGGGGACATCCTGGCTTTCGCGGCCGCTGGCACCAGAGGTTCCGGGCTTTGTTTGCTCGAATGAGTGCCCGGGAACGGTCTCCTCCCGCTGTGGCGCGGTGCCCCCCGCCCCGGATCCTATCCCCCGCTGCAGCTCCCTTCTGGCCTGGCCGGCGAGGGCAGCATCTGTCGCGGCTGCGTCCCCCTCCGGCACAGAGCCCGCCACGCCGGGGCTTCACGCCCGCTGCGCCCTCCTCCAAAATCTAAGGGGTCCCTCTATGGAAAGGAGTTGTCCCTGGAGGGGAAGGGTGGAAAGACCTGCAAAAGATGGCCCAGTGCTTGCTACCCAGACAAGGGCTCTGCCCCGGCCACAGGTCCTGGGGCCCCGGAGTACTCGCTGCGTCCTAGAGAGCTGCGTGGCCGGCCGCGGGGCGCCTGGGAGCTGGCCCGGCAGTGCCCACCCTCCCCGGGTGACTCCGCGGGGATGGAAGTGTCCCTTCTCCAGAGTCTCTGCTTTCCCCCCTCAGCTCCCCACTGTGGTGTACGGTGCAAAAGCAGGATCCCAAGATGCGCTCCCTCTTCCCACACCCGAGAGGTACAGGGGGAGCCAGGGAGCAGTCCCGAACTTGTGCGTTTCGGGAAGGGAAACAGGATTCCGCTGTCTTTCCCGCTCCCGCGCCGCCTCCTTTTCCAGCACGGGGTCACTCGACCGGGCGCTTCTGGAAAGTTTCTCTCAAAGCCTGGGCCGGCAGGCATGACGGGATTGGGGCGCAGCCTGCGCGGCCCGCGGAAAACCCGACCCGGAGGGAAGCGGGCGGACCGCCCGGGCCGCGGGGAGTTGGGTGCTGGCCCGCAGGCCGCGGCTCCTCCGGCCGGCAATCGGTCGGGATGCGGCCTCGGCGCTGCCCTTGCTGGGCCGCTCGAGAAAGCGGGGGCGAGGCGGAGGGAAAGGAAGTTCAGGGGCAGGATTCAGGATGCTGGGGCGGCCACTGGACAGCGGCTGGCGCAGGGGCCAAGCGCACCAGCCCCAGGCTCCCCCTGGGCCCCGCGCGTTTTCCGAGCCGGCGGGGGTCCGGGGAGGATGGAGCGGGCAGCCAGGTGTTGGTGGAGCGGGGAGCAGCTGCGTCCGCACAGCCGGGGAAGGCGCTGCCAGCCGCGGCCTCTGGCCCGTAGCGCTGCGGGCAGCCCCAGTGGCCGTGCCAGTGGTCCTGGGAGGAAGGTGGCCGCTGTGCCCACGCGGTGGCCGGCCAGTCGGGCGGCGGTGGGATCGCTTTCGGCGTCCGCTGGACGGAAATCAAGTTGCTCCTTCCCGAATCTGATCCGTGAAAGGTTTAAAACAGAGGCGAAGGCGGACGGACGCACAGCCACGAGCGCGCGCGCGCACACACAGACACACACAGAAGCACGCAGATGCTCACACTTGCACGCACAACTTTCTTTGCCTCACATCTGAAAAGATGTTTAACCCAGTTGCAGTGTTCCGCCAGCATGTCTCCAGAAAGCTGTGCAATGCCCCCCAGCGCTGGTTTTTAAGTCTTTCCGGGGTAGGAAGGTCGAGTGCTTCTGCCGGTCTTTCTTGAATCCTGAGAGTTGTCGGTCTTCCTTCAGACCTACATCTTGGGCATCAAGTCCAATTCTGATGGCGCAGAAAGGCTATAGGTTCCAGACACGTGAATCCTTTCTTTAGGCTTTTTCTCCCAAAGTAAAGATGCCTGTGCTCAATTCTGAATTAAAGTATCGTACTTTTTTACACCATAACCAAATGGCTACCAGAGGTCAAGACTGCAAAGCATTTTGTGTGTATTTTTTGTAATACCCTGTTTAGTCTGCATGGAGCAGTTTTATGATTTACAGTAAGCTTTGATGAAACTACGCCAGGCACCAAAGTTGATTACTAACCTGACCTTAAATACTGTGGCAGAACACTGTCTCCACCTATTAACCTCAGTTATTTGTCAGAAAATAATTGCACTATCTGAATTTGGTTTACCCGTGCTTGTTTACACGGTAACTTTTATTTGAATCTTGAGTAACTCCTACTCTGTATTATTATTTTGCTTTTAGGATATTCTTGAATGAGGCACTTGGCAAACCAATCCGAAAGCGGGAAAGAATGGAGGTCAGGTTTAAAGCCTCATCTCTGTTACATCCTTTTTCAACTTGATGGAAAGGAAGCATTCTAGTTCCTGTGTCTTATTTACAGTGTTGGGGTGGTGACCGTCTTCCCAAAGTGTTGTGTTTTGTAACTATCACCCCGGAGAGATGGGCCACACTCTTCAATAATGCATATAGTCCTCATGTGTAAATGTTGAGCAGCCACCCAAAACCATAGTCTCAGGAGCCATCTGCAGAATGTACTTAAAACTTCCACTACACTTAAATAGGTTAAGAATTCATTAAGAACTAGGGTAGAAACCTAAGTAAATGTTGAATGAACGAAAGAAAGACGTAGTCACACATGATTCACATTTCTCTGCTTAGAATGGACCTGCTGTTTTTCCCCCCTACAAAGCAACTTCAAATAAGTGATTATTTATTATAAAGTGGCAATAAGTGCAACTCTTTATTTACCCACACAGCAACACACACACACACACACACACACACACACACACACACACACACAAACACACAGCCCTCAAGTTCTTTCCAAGCCTAGTGAATGCTTTTCCCATCATTAAAAAAATATAGCATTTGCATTTTGAGTGGGCGGGTAATATTGCTTAGTATGTTGACTCAGAAGGATAGCAAGAATTAAGAAGACTGTTATCTTCATTGAATGAAAATAAGGCACCCAAATTAAGAATTTGTATTAAATTCAAAATAAATACTCATGCTTTAAAAGCAAACGGGTAATTGCACTCCCATGTGAAATGGAAGGAAAAATACCGTTTTGAAGCAGGAGGTAAGTCAGACACTTTACTACGGGTACATGGTGGTTCAGCTCTTTTCTGAGCAGGACAAAAGAGTGATCATGGGAGAAGAAGTTTTTTAAAACTAGATTGCCAAAAGCGAATATATTCTCCCATCTTATTTGTTTGCAGAATGGAATCACAGAACAAGCCAAACTAATTGCAAATGCTTTAATTAAGCATCTGCCGTTTGCAGCAGTATAAAGCCTAAGAGAGACTGTGTGTCTCTCCCTCTGCCTCCCCCGCCCCAGGTTTCCACAATTTATTGTCCTCCTCCCGGAGTGGGTGTTCCCTGGGCCCTGGGCATTCACACTCCCAGAGGAAGGTGGAGCCTGGAAACATCCTGCTGTGCCCTCCCCTATCAGTGATCAGTGTCCCCCACTCTTTCGAGGTACCCTGGAGCCAAGTCATCTCTGAGATCTTACTATTCCAGAGTGAAGGCTTTTCTCAGCAACTGAGCTATTCTCTGCCAGCAACCACATGGTTGCCTCTTGGGGATATGAGAAGGCAGGGAGGCATTTAATCCCTCTGAAATGGGCAAGTGAGATGTCATACCACACAAACCTCAAGGGGAGAAAAGCGTACAGGATACTGCTCAGCATGGGACTATTGCAGAAGAGTCCATACACAAGGGGCTCCTGCTTTGTGAAGCTGGTAAGTTCTTGTAAAACTTTCTGATTCGAATTAATTCAGATTCCACTAATGGAGAGTATCCTCTAAAACTGTCAGGACTCAACACAATGTTTCCCAAGTAACCTCTTCACCCCAGACCTCTCTCCTGGGTCTCTCAGATAGCAAATCCTACAGGTTAGGTAGCCTTCTTGGATCTGATAGACATCACAAACTTGACATGTTCCGAGCACCCAATTCTGGGTCTTTTCTCCCCTAGAGAGGCTTTTCTTATAACTTCCTCCATCTTGGAAAATGGTGGAACCATGCTTTGGGTTGTTCACATGTGAAAACTTAAGACTTACCCCTTCACTCTTTGTTCAGACCCACATCCACTCCAGCAGCAATGCTGTGGCTGCTCCTTCAGAAAGCGCAGGGGCCTCCTCCATAGTCGTCCACCTCTGGAGCCCTCCTGGTGCCTGAGCCGCTGCCTTCTCCTGCTGGGTGACTGTGCCAGCCTCCCAACTGGTCTCCTTGCTTTGCTCTTGGCCCCCTACAGTCTCTTCCCCACCCAGCAGCCACAGTGATTTTTTTGGAAAAAAAACAAAAAACAAAAAAACACGAAGCCAGATCAGATCACTTCCGCTCAGATGCTTTCCCGTCTTCTTCTAGAAGCCAAAGTCCGACCTACAACCTTTGTGGCCCAAAGGGATCTGGGATTTCCACCCCTCTTTAGGGCTACATGACTATGCCAGACGTGTTCTCTTCGGGGTCCGTTGCATGCTCTTCACTTCTGCTCTTCCATGGCCTGGGATGATTCTGTCCCCAGATAGCTGTGTGGTTTGCTCCTCACATTCTTTAGGTCCCTGTGCAAATGTCACTCTTGCAG